ACTTTGTAACTACTGCCACATGCGTTGTTGTAAAAACAAGAAAACAAAAGCATATTTAAGTATTTATCCTACTCCACAAAAGGTTATTTACTTATGTTTTCTGACACAAAAATTATTCTCTTAATTATTTTCTATTCTCTGGTTAGTTTCTTATATTACTTTTTTATAAAATACTTCAGATTTAATTTTCACATTTTTCGCAAAAGGTACCATATAAATCAACCAAATAGAACAAATCAAAATTATTATTTAACAGCTATATGTTTTGTACCAGCATCTCTTATCGATATATTTACCGTCTGTAATCATAATTCTTTCTCCTAATTAAATACTACTCCCTCCGTTTTGTTTTACTTGTCGTTTTAGAGTTAAAATTTTGTTTCATAATAGTTGTCGTTTTAGGATTTCGATGCAAATGTTTGGTGAAAATTCCAGTTTTATCCCTACTGTTTTAATGTTTCGGTCAATGAATTTTTTTATAAAATATATTAATAAAGGGTAAAACATAAAATTTAATGTTTTTTTTAATTTGTGTGAGAAAACCTTAAACGACAACTAAAACGAAACGGAGGGAGTAGTGTCTAAATTCCATTTAACCCCATAACTAACTTTTTGTCATCATTAACCAACACACACAAAAAAAAAAAAACTTTTTGTCAGTTGGACTAAAGTGTATGAATCCAAATACATCTGCCGCGAAACCCTAGATCTTAATAAATACTTACGTAGCTTTTTATTAACTTGCAAAGGTCATACAATGCAATTAGGAATAAAAAAAGATAAAATCGAACATTAGTTAAACAAACGATTTTACTTAAGAAAAACGTTAGTAATACAGAATGAATCTAAACATTTTACAATAATGTTAAAAGCTTTAGAAAATCCAGCAGTTATGAAATTAAGGCCAAACTCTTTCGTGTAAATGTGCCACAAACGTCTATACTTTACTTATACCGAATCGTTAACTTCTAAGGACTTGTTCAATATGCGATTCGAAGATCAATCTTATAGCTAACCATACATGCATTAATAGTGACACATCCGTCTCATAGATACGTGTGAAACATAAGTCAAGTAATCGAATACGAGGAGATATGTATCACAGAAAGAGGAGGATGTCCATGTGAGCATCAAGAAAGAAGATAGCGAGAAAGAATAGGAGAGAGAGAGAGAGAGAGATAGAGAGAGAGAGAGAGAGAGAGAGAGAGAGCACATGCAAAAAGGTATCCCAACTGCCATTACCTAACATTTTCACGTCTCAAGATTGGTGAATGGTCTCTCTATTTTTAATCACCCACCCATGTGATCTTTTTTTTTATCATTATTTATCTTCTTTTTCTTTCAAATAGTAACTTTTTTGTCTACTAGTAATTTAGTATCATAGTAGAAAGTTCAAAACATTTCGATCGGAGCATTCATATCTCATATTTTTAAATTTTATGTTTGTGCATAATAGTTATACAAACTGAACCTAAATTTAACTGCTAAAATGGGAAATGACGACTAGTTTATCCAAACTTTTTAAAAGCATTATATCACATTCGAATTCATACAATTTCTCTAATTTACCAGAAAAGTCAGTTACCTCTTTTTTTTTTTTTTTTTTTTTTTACTTTTAAATATTTATTCAAACATATTCATAGAAACATTAACATTATTTACTTGACAATCAACTGTCCATAACAAAAGAAAACTAACTACATCAATATGCAAAAGTAAAGTATCAAGACCCATTTTGTTGAAACAGAATAACTTATAAACATCATATAAAGAGTTATGGTGTGGGCTTCTTAATCAACCAATAAATTTGCTCAAACTCATATAGAAGATGTATTAGCATATATAATATCTGAATATATTTTTGTTAACTACTGTTGTCCGGAAACTGTCAGAAAAATATATTTCCCGTGACTATGGGGAGAGGAAAGAAACAGTAAAAGGTAAAGAGGTCCAACAAACAAAAGTGTATTGAAATAAGCGAACACATGTGATCTGCCATTACCATTGGACCTTCTTCCCCAACACATGTGATGGTATATAACTTATCAGAATTTTTTCGGAATTTTTTTTAATACTGCAATAAAACCTTATATTTTATTTAAGAGTAATACCTAAATTATGACCATATATCCTGGCCATTTTATTTATAATGTGTATTTAAGAAAATATAACTGATTTCACATGTGGATTTTGAAAGAAAAAAACAAATTATGTTATTTTATCAGATAATATGATGTTTTACATAATAGTATATTTTAATGTAAAATAGAACGGAAGTTAATTAATGATCATTTTTGTTGGTGAAATTATTTAAAAGATATTTAAATTAAAATGGATCAGGTATATTGAAATGAGTTACTTATCAACTTTGACTAAAAGATAGATTTGGTATTTTAATTAGTCAAATTAAAAATTTGAATTGATATTCTTTTAAAACAAAAATAAACCTCTACAGTGACACTATTATTAAAATTGAGGAACTAATTAGTGTATTAATGATGGGAAGTTGGGAACTAACTACCCCTTTTTGTATTGCCAACGGTTTTTATAGTGCAAGAGTGTTGCATTTGGTTTGATAAACATATATCTCCTACTGATTCGTTGATTATAATATTTCTTTGCCTGGATAAATTAGAATTATCGATCAATGATCATACTTAGCTTCAATTACTCTTAAGTCATTTGGTTATTTGAGTTTAGAGCATGCGAATCTCTCATTCCAAAACTTGTTCGACCAACATATATATTCTTATTCTTGATTCTCTTTTTGTAAGAATCATCATCTCCTCATAAGAGAACTTTCTAAGTTACCATAGTCGTGTACTCGTGTTAGTGATGCATGCTACGTTTGCTCCTACGAGCCCGTATGGCCGTATCCTTTTACAATGAACCCTTGAACCAATAAAATCTGAAGTTTTCCTCCAAAGAATTAACAACCCGGTTTAGTACTCAACTACTGAAAGAATCCAAAGTGCAATCCAAACAAAGAAAAATTGATGTATTATCGCTACTATACCCGGTTTTCCTCCAACGTTGGATAGAAAAATGATTGATTTAAAGTGTGCCCTAAATAGCAATTTATATGCATTTTTGTTGTTGTTGTTTTAATGCCGTCATAAATAAGATTATGTTTTTATATCTCACTTCCACTTTTTTCCTCTGAATGATATTTGTTTGATTTGCTTAAGTTGATACTATAAATAACCGATTCATACAACTTGAGAAGGAAATAGTCTTCAAATCTATTATATATATTGAAAATTTATATGTGCGTATATACATCCACAATTACATATACACGTGTTAGTAGTTAGCCTCGCAATATAGCTCTCTAGGCCCATGTGGAGATGAGTCATACACAACAAATTATAGTATAAAGGGATATTATAAATGGAAAAACCATATTAAATCTCGGATTAAAGTTTGACGTACGTAAAAATCATATTATATTTTCGTTCTACAGATCTTCCAAAAAATGTAATTATGGAAATTCATAGATAGAATAACATGATTTATAATTTGACCTAAAATAAAAAAAATCATATTAAATTCCGGATTGAAGTTTGACAAACGTAAAAATTATATTATATTTTCGTTCTATAGATCTACAATGATCAAATAAATATAATTATGGAAATTCATAGATAAAATAACTTGAATTTTGATCTAAATCCACATAGAAAAAAATTACCACTTCAAATCCATTACTGAAAAAATATCCTTTTTTTTGCCATCCGAAATTAATGAAAGATTATCCTTGGATCACATAATTTTATATATTTTTTGAATATATTTTATAAAATCTTTCCTTATTTTGTTCATTAATATCAAATGTTGTGTGCAATATTTATTAGTTATTATTGATAATTGTAAAATTCATGAAAAATAAATTAATATTATAAGTTTAGAGTTAGAGAAAATTGTAAATCACAAAAATAATACATTTATAACCAATGTTTAATATATGTGAAAATTTTAAAAATACATTACAAAATAGAGGGCGAGTAGTAAATAGCTCGACAATAAGTAAAAGCAAGTAATAAAATAAAGAGTGACATAAATGGAGGGACAAAAATTGGAGCGACCGGCAAAGAAAGAGACCATAAAGAGAGAGGGAAGGTAAGTTAGTTGGTCGTTGTTGACGTTTCCTTTCGATTCATAACGAAGCTTCATCTTTCTTTATCTTTGACCCTATCTTTTTATTTCTTTTAAATTTTGTTACATATATTATTTATTATTATTTCACTTAACTTTAATTTATATCTCTTTCCTTTTCTTTTTACTCACTTTCGGTACGTTGTTCTTGAAATTATCATTATCCAATGTTTTTTTTTCTTATCTTATTGTATTTCTCTGGTCTGAAATTCTTGAAGATTATTCTTTGCTTCATGTAAGAAAAAGGTTTTTCGTGTTCATATTTCATTTGTTTATGTTTTATTTTTTGCTTGTTTATATAATAATGTATAATATTATATTATTATCTACAAGTGTTTTCGAAAAATTTGTGCCGACTGGCGACTAGCAGGATTTTGTTTTCTTATTAATTTAATATGATGATTTTCATACTAAGAAAACACCATTACTCCTTCCGTATGCAATAAATCTGGTGAAAATTTATCCAATTTAGACTTTTTTGAGCGATCCTTACAAATGATATTAAAAACACACATACTTTTTCGAACTTTTTTTAAAATGATAAATAATCACTTATAATTAGGATTTCACACTAAAACTAAACAAAATAGAATTGATCATGCATCTTACTTACTATACTAATTTTTTTAATCTATAGTTCTATGTTACCTTAACAAATCACTAGATTTTAACCCGCGGTACACCGCGGGTATATAATTTTATTAAATAATAATAAATTTTTTTTTTTAAGATGATCTATAGATATATGTTATTGTTTTATTTGATTTAAATGTATGGTACACTGTATGACGATATTTATAACAAAAGATTTAAAATTTGAAGTTTTATTTGTTTACATGAAAACAACAAAAAGAAGACTCTCAACTCTGAAGTTCAAAAGACTAATAAGACTTTCTCCAAGTCTTTCATCGGAACAACATTTTGAGCTCCTCAAGTCTTTCCGACCGGACTTCTTCATCGGTCAAAGCTCCATCAATCATCCTCTGCTTCCTTGCCTGAACTTGCTGCATTCGTTCCTCCACTGTATCCTGTACATAATCATCCAAAACAAACACAATATTACTTACTTAAGAGATCTTGCTTACGAAGAAACTCAGAGAAAAATGTGGTTTTATATAGTGTTACCTTGACAATGAATCTTCTGACGAATACTGTTCGTTTCTGCCCGATTCGATGAATTCTCATGATCGCTTGCTCTTCTACCGCCGGATTCCACCATGGATCCTAAGTGTTTCAAGAAAGAAAACCAAAACATCAATTCATCATTCAATTATCAAGAAGACTTCAAAACAAAGCTTGAAGAGAGATGGTACCATTAAGAAGACACTTGAAGTTGCGGTTAGATTCAGACCAACTCCTCCAGCTTTCAGAGACATGAGCAGAATCTGTAATACATCACAAAAGCAGAAGCATAAAGATCTTAAGCTCTCTCTAGTCAGATCCAGACAGAGTTTGTTAGAAACAAAATTTCAAAGTTTAATCGATTCCGATTTCAAGAAATCAAACAACTCATTAAGATTAGAAATTGGAAAGTCAAAGAATGAACCTAGCCACCAAGATGGATCGTTCCAACATCGGAAACGTCGCCATATGAATCCGCCATCGGCAAGCAAAGCTCTTACGCTTCCGCCGTCGCCGTTCTATTACCGCTGGCTAACAAAAGCTCATCTTCTTCTTCTCCCTACCTCAAGATATGTAAACATCTTATACGTAAGAAAATGTAGCAGTCATCTAGGGTTGAAGAAATGTTTGCACGGTGTATAAATAAAATGTGTGTTTTTTATGATGTGATGAGAGGTAAATCCATATAGTATATATAGGCTCAAACATTTAGGTCAATATTCTTTTGGTGATCACGCAAAAATAATTCGCAATCTTAACTAAATATGGAATAAAATATATGTAATCGGAATGTTTTAGGTATATGCTAGAATTATTTTTGGAGAGTAATTCTCGGGATATGAATTGAGGTAAGATAATATGGTAAGATAGTTCTGTTGAAACACGGATTTTTTAAATATGGAATGTGGAATAATTTGTTAAGAAAACCAACTTGTTGGACTTGAATATCGTCGGCCATAATGAGAAGAAGTATAAATGGTAATGGTAATTAAGATTTGATAACGATTAGTTTTTGTTATTAGTTTATATTTAGTAGATATGATCGAGATTATGATTATTAATAGCATTTAAAATTAAATATTTGATTTCCATAAATCTTTAGTAATATCTCTAATCTGGTTTTATTAATATCTAATCTTTTTTGTTTTGGAGAAATATAAGATTTGCAGAAATTTAAGGAAATATAACAAATTCGAATTTGAAATATTATCTTATTCGAGAAATTAACAAATTCGAGAATATACAAAGATAATAAATTCGTCATATTCGGTTGCCCAAATCAGAAAATATTACCAAAATAGATTTTTTGTGATATTAAATATGAAAAACGAATTTATTACTAATTAATGTAGTTTTTCTTAAAAAAATCAAATCAGAAAATATTACCAAAATAGATTTTTTGTGATATTAAATATGAAAAACGAATTTATTACTAATTAATGTCGTTTTTTCTTTATTTATTACAATGTATTACAATGTATTTATAAGGTTTTACATACAAAATATCTATGTAAATAAAAAAGTTTAAAGAACCAATAGCGCTGGAATTGATTTTTTTGCTATAACGATTACTAAAACATTTAAGTAAATAAAGATATTTCGTTATGATTTTTCAGCATATTCGAATTGTTGATTATTTCGAAATTTAAGGATGTTTAAGAAATCATGATTGATTTCCGATTTCATAAATTTTGATTAGAATTAAAAATAAAAGATTTAGTATTTAGATAAGGAATATACTATAATAAGGATTATTAGTACTCGAATATATTAGGAATATTCGTATTGTTAGTTTATTTAATTCAAAAATTATAATTTGCGGATTTAAAGGAAGATCTTCTCGAGATTTTAGGAATATAATCGAGATTTTAGTAACAAATGTGATCACATTAAATTTTCGAAAGATTTGAAATATTTGTGTCCAAATTGTTAGAAACAAATTAGGATAGATAATTTTTGGTTAGTATCTTTTTTAATATTTTCAAATCTTAAGAATTAAACCCATTGACATTATATTGTTGAATTTATTTTTTTTAAATTACGTAATATTAAATAAAAAAAATTAAATAACTAACTATTTTCATTTGATGGTGTAGACAAATTATTATTATTATTTATGTAATTTAATTACAAATAACAAATATTAATTTTTATAACAAAACAAATTATTTTCGTAAGAACAATTTTTTCCCAAATCAATATTTTACAAAATATTTATTTTAATCACATATTCTTTCTATATAGAAATAAATAGTTAAATAATTATTGTTAGAAGTAGTTAAGGTAATTAACAAATATGGTTAGTTTAGATATATTATATATATTTCCAATTTAGGTGTTAATTAAGAATTAATGTGGTTTTAAGACAACATTCCTTAAATCTCTTAACCTAGATCCGAATATTATTAAATCGGGTAAAACCCGGATCCAAAAGACTTTTTGCAAAAATCCCCTGTAAAAATGTATATGTAGATTCTTATAAGTTATAACAGGTTTTTTTACCCAAAACAAAATCTATATATAAGTAAATTGAACAAACTATAGGGTGATCAGTTTTTAATAATTTATCTATTAAGTATAAAATGATGACAATTTGCATATCTACCCCGAAATCAGAAACGACAATGTTTAGTTACTTTTTTATTGTTAATAATTTGATATTTAATTAAATTTTTATTGATCCAAGTTTTGGAGGATTGGTATAAATAAAGGAAAATTGTTAAAAATACCCTTTTTGGTGTGCCACTTTTCAAAAATGCCCCTTTTAGATGTCCATTTTCAAAAATGCCCCTTTTTAAATCTGAAATTTTTATAAAGTTTTATTAGGTTTATAAGGTACTTATGGATTGTAACTACTACTTGAAGACTCGATCCAAGTATTTATAAGGTTTTATAAGGTATTTTTAAAGATTTTACAAGTTATTTTAAAGGATTTTTAAGGTTTTTCAAAGGTTTTACAAGATATTTTAAAGGTTTTTAAAGGTATTTAAAATGCATTTATAAAGTATTTATAAAGTATTTATAAGATTTTAGATACATAGAAATGTAGTTTGTGTATGTTTTAATAATATTACATACATATTTGGGTAAATCTTATATTTTTAAGAGCATTTTTTATAAGGTTTTAAAAAGGGGTATTTTTGAAAAGTGGCATTGAAAAAGTGGCATTTTTGCAAAAGCCCCATAAATAAATGAAATAGCACAGTATCCGAACAAATTAACTAATAGCAACGTCAGAGTATATATAAAGATTTATCTTCCATTACTATGAAGAGAAAAAAATATAATACACATTTGGACTTTGTTGCACATGGATCTTAATAAACACGACAAATATTTATGAAATTCAATATTAATTTAACCAATTTTAGATTTTTTACCGAGATATGATGTGAAAATATCAGCCCTAATGGTAGGGTCTTTTTAATTTATATGAAGGGGCCAAATTCTCATGTTGTTGTCGAAGTTGGGTGAATCTTATTCAATAACGTTGATACTAAATTTATGTTTGGAAATTTCGACTTACATACATGTAGTGAGTGGTATATATATATATATATATACACTGTAAACCACACTGTTTTCAAATTTTAATAAATTCCAAATATAATATAAATTAACCTATCCACAAAGTTCATAAAGCTACAATACTATATGAATTAGAAGATTATGTTCGTGACTATGTTCTTTACCGAGTCGGTCGGTCCACTAAAACAAGGGTTCGACGTATAGACTGACTGTTCCACTTTGATATTCTTCATTAGTTCATACACCTTTAATTTTTTAAAAACTGTTCCTATCAAGAATTCAGCTATACTTGATCAAGACTAATCTAATCGTCTAATAAGATTACAGGTAAACAAAAAAAATTATAGGTAAACAACATCTTTTAAAAACTGGTGGTGCTTTATTTCCTAATACTTTTTTACATTCAAATATTGGGATTATTGTTTAAAATGCCCTTTTTTGGGAAAAACTTACGAAAATGCCTTTTTTTGAATAGTTTACGGATTTTGCCCTTTTTTAACACTTAAAAATGTATGTATTTAGGATTTTTTTTTCCAAAAATACGTACTTTATACCAAATACTAAACCCTAAGAACAAATGGAACCGACTAAACCCAAACATAACGAGTGAAACGCATATTAAATCATATTTTTGGAGCATGAAAAAGGGCAAAATGCATAAACTATTCGAAAAAGGGCAAAATCCACAAATGCCTTTATGAAAAAGGACAAAATCCGTAATTTATTCTTCAAATATTTTCTAATACTATAATATCAATATTATAAAGGAAAAAAAATCATAAATCAGGCATCTTTACATTAAACTAACAGAAAAACGCACCTATATATATATATATATATATATATATATATATATATATATATATATATATATATATATATATAACGATGTTAATCAAGATTGTACTTCCTTAATGTTGATAGTTCTGATTCTGTATGTTGAAAGATGATTTTAGCTATACAGTAAACATTTGATATCTAGAAAAAAAAGATCTAAAATTGTATATATGCAATTTTACAGTTACAGTTTTAAATGATGGCAACCAAAAATAAAAACTATGTTGATACACACATAATAAAAAGAACAACTCACTACCTACGATTATTACAGTTTACAGAACAAACAGAATAAATACTAAATAGAATGAGCGGAACAACACAGATAAAAACAAAATGTTGAATCACTGAACTTTTCTAACAATGAGAATGACTAATTGTTTTTCTACTTCAAATATATAGCATTGTTCTTAATGAATTCAACCACAAATCTTAAAGTAACATGTGGATGGACTACACTTTATAGTTATATAAAGAGTTAGTTCCACATAACATGTTTTGCCAATTAATTTTGGGGTTAAGGACTGTTCTTGATCGAATATTTTTTATTTTTGTTTAAATATTTTTTGGTAAAAGTTTACTTTTGTACCAGTGACAAATAGTAGTAAATTTGGTAGGTATTAACTATTGTAATCAAATTTCCTTGATAAGCACAACAAGATCAGATGCATGTGGACCCTCATGATCATTTTAGATCTCCAACATACCATAACTGCCGCTGGTTATTATTCTACATGCTATTATAATGCATTCGTTTCTTATTCGTTTATATAGTTGACACTTATTAATACAACAGTGTTACATTGTACATAGTTTTCAGGTATTTATTGATTTTTAACAATGTATATTATATTATTATGAAACCATTTTACATAGATGTCTCCTTCAACAAAAGATATTTATTGTACATGTGACATATTTTGTCACATCTTCAATACAAAATACTACATATTTTTAATAATAATATCCTTTACAAATTCCGGAGGATCCAAGGTGACTGAGAATTCACAATAAATTAGCTACTATACAGTGGTCGTTGAGTAATTTTTACTCATGAATTAAGGTCTAAAAACACATGTATACATGGGCCGGAGAAGATGACACAGTTATTATAGGTTTTGTAGTGATATCAAAATAGTACAGGAAAAAACTGATTCACAATGCATTACGCTAGAAAAATGTTGAAGGTTTTTTTGAAATTTTTTCAGAAATGCAAAAACAACAGCACAGTCGTATTGGTAAATATTACTATATTAGTATAAAACTTACACTATCAAATGATTTCAATTTGCATAGTATAACTACAGCTGATCATGGATTTCATGATAGAGAAACTTAGAAGCTACTACAATAATAGAC